TTGAATATCCTGCTATTTTCCCAAATACATTTATCAAAAGTATGAAAGCTAGAATCATTGCATGAAAGATAGATATAAATAATAAAATATCACAAGCATAAAATACTAACCTTTAGTCTTAAGATTTATGCTATAAATTGCAAAAGTTATGACCTTGTCCAATTGTACAAATTGGGGATTCTCAAAGCAGAAAATTAGCATCCTTGCATAGTATCTTTATAAAGCAAAACAGTGCATGACTATTGACTTTTACTCTCATTTTCACTTTCACAGTTTAGTGTCTCTGCGTTCTAGGGGTCAACTGGGAGGTTGTGATGTTCTCCTAAACTTTAAACAACTAAATATGGAAAAAGGTCAGACAACCCACTTAACAACCTGGATCAGTGGACTTGGGAAGGCAAGGCTGTAATGAGAAATCTTATTCAACTATCCACCAAAAAGCTGAAAATAGTGCCATGAAGTTTGTATGTAGCACTACTGACCAATAGGCACTAGAGTGCAAATTTTCATACGATAGAAAAATCATTCCAAAAAGACATATATTTTTTTCTTTCCTTTTTTAGCAAACACAGAAAGGCAGGAAGGCACTAAAGATGCTTCCTACCTGTGGTCCCCTTTAATCTAAGACTGACATGGTAAAGGAATTCTGATGGACAAATGCTCAATATGAATCCACAATGTGAGAGACATATTTGCTTGAAAACAGCTGCTCCGGCTTTCAGTCAGCTTCAAGGAGGTAAATGTTTAGTGTTGCAAGGAATGTTGACAGGAAATGAATTACTTCTTGCCAGTTGGAATGGATTTGCCAAGGGTAAATTCCTAAAATGAGAGCAAGCCAACAGCAGCTGGAGATTACACTTGTTCATGTGCTGGGAGATCTTTCAAGAAAAATGAATGAATTAATGAATGAATGAACAAACGAATGAATGAATGAATGAATGAATGAATGAATGAACGAATGAACGAATGAACGAATGAACGAATGAACGAATGAACGAATGAATGAATGAACGTCAAAGAAAGTCTGCAGTCGCTCTTTCTTCCTCTTCACTGCAAGTTTTGGTTGCCAGAAGTTGACATTTGTTCTATAAAGAAGAGTTCTCAATTATGACAACGAAGGGGGAGAATCTAAACATGTAAAACGGTTGTACTTTTATCACTTGTTTTACATCGCAGTTACAGTGACAGTTTATAAATCAGCACTTTAGATCCTGGCTTATGTAGTAATGCAGCTGGTACAGTATAGTTGGTTCCAGACCACCAAAAAAATTACTTTTCTTATGTGGAAAGATTTTCTTTCTCTCTAGTGACAGTCTAAGAATTAATGTTGCAATTACAGGCTATGTAGTATAAGAAACATATTTCCTTGTACCACCTATAAGCCTGACATACACAAGAAGATTTTCTGTGCTCATAATAATGTAATTGTGTAGAACTTCTCCATACAAAATGTGGAAAGGGTTAACACATACTCCAAGGGAAAATATAAGTATAAGCCCTCATTCTTTCTTAGACTAGATATGTAGATAATTGGACTGGTGGTTACTGGGCACCCTAGCAAATCTAATTCAATTAATTCTGTACTCTTTTACTCTTATGCATTTGAACACATACAAGAATCACTGAATTTCCTTAACCTTTTAAGCACTTCAAGGGTCATCAATGGTAGGGTTGAAACAGACTTATTCATCCAGACAAACAAGGAAAGCCAAAATAGCACTGTACTAATCTGACATTTGGTTCATTCCTATTTCCACATTCCGTTTAGAATTGTGAGATTGGGTACATATAAAAACTACATATATGTCTTTGTACAATTCAATGTGTACTGAAGGGGAAAAATTCCCCATGACCCAATTTATGAGTGGAGACCACACATTTTGCTTGAGCCAAGTTTATTTGAACAGCACTGGGTTCAAACCACAAGGTTCTGCTCACTGAAGGAGGATACAACCTATCTTTACATAGCCATATAATAAATGCTGATCATAATGATGTCAATCATAACATGGGTTAGATTGTCTGTTTATAGTGAGATAAGTAGAAGGATAAAGTGGGGGTTGGCACTAGTCAGTTTTTTTAGTTAGTTACTTCTTAGTTTCCCTGTAAAAATACAAGTGCTGATGTAAGATAACTTGTGACACAATGTCTGCAAGTGCCTAGGCCAGCTATTAAGGAGGCTTACTTGAGTTCAGGGGCCTTTGTCGTTTGGAGGTCTTGGGTCAGGTATTTGTTTTACTCCTTCAGTACATGTTCTGCAAGTCATTTCCCCACATAAGTTAGTGCCACCTTTCCTAGCTACACACGCTTTCTTTTTTGAGAACCACACTGTGAAATTTCAAAAGATGGCTTAATGTCAACGTGCACATTTGTCCGAGAATTCAAAATCAGGCAAATGTCTCTGTATCACTTCAGACAATGATAGGAATAGGAGCAGCAACAATCTGTACCAAGGATCAGTATAGATCAAACAAAAACACCAAAATCCATCCAATACAATTAGTTCACAACTTAAAACCAGCCAGTGAGTCCAGTGTTTAGAGCCAGATCCAATACACCAACCGTATATCTTTCAAGGAATGCTCTAGTATGGTGCAGAGTTCACATGCATCCATAATGAATATAACAAATGCAATCAGAAAATTACCAATCTGAATGAGAGAAGAGTAAAATAACCACACTAACCCAGTAGTCTGATAAAAAGCCCATGAAGAGTCATCAAACTTTCATGGGGAAAACGGAAGGAGGCAACTCCAGGCAAAACCTGGAGCCGACAACCCTAGAACAGGAAACAGAAAGATTCTACCCAGAGGGATGTAAGCAAAACAGTGGGGAGAAATAAAGGCTGGCACATCCTCAGGGTGGGATGAGATGGGGATATAAGCATCAGTAGTTTGAACTAAGTTTTCGTCGGAATAGGGAGCCAGTGCAATGACACAAAGGGGGATTGTGATTAATCAGTGGGAAGAATGTGCTCTTCCTCTTATTAAAAATAAGATTTTTAGGAAGATATCCCTGGCTGTAGGAGCTGACCAATCCAGAGAAATTCACAACAGTGGGAATCTTAAAAGATGGTGGAAGCATTGATGAGGGATTTTTAAGCAGAAGATACCTTGGATGGTCTATCCATGAAGTCCCTCTCATCGACAAGGGTGCCATCTCAGTGGCCTTTGAGGTCTCTTCTAACACTCTGCTTCTGATATACATACTAGCTAATGTGCAAAGTGCAGATAGCTACACAGAAATGCAAAGGATTACTGAAGACAGCCTACAGTGAAGAGTTCATTTCATGCCCAGCAGGACAATTAAGTAGAAACGGCATGACGGATTCACAGCCGCATTCCTCAATATATGTATATATTTCTTTATACATTGAAAGATGCGTAAAGAAACTGACCTTCTCTTACTGCAGGGGCAAATATCATGCTTATTTGTAAGATGTTTTAAAATAATTAATCTCTCCTGTCCGCTCGATCAAGAGCATTTCTAACAGTGAATAATACGGCATTGAGTGCGGTTACTGGATCCCTGAGCAAATAATCTGATTTTGCTTCTGATTAGGGGGGAAATTCAGGTACAATAAATCAACATCCACTTAAATACTAACTCTGAGAGTGCACTTGTTTAGAAATGTACATTGGGAACTAGAGATAACAGCACAACAAGCAAGTCCTGCTGAGTACAATAAGACTTAGCTAGACACACATATGCTAGTTGTCCCCAACTTGGAACCATCCAGATTCACTGAACTACAACATCCAAAACTCACAGCTAAAATGTCCAACATTTAAGACCAGTACTTTCCATCCTGGTGCTCTCCAGGTCTGAAGTATCCCAACTCTACCATCCCATGCTAACTTGGGATAATATGAGCAGAATGCAATTTTGCTTCATTTTCACCCCGCCAAAAGCAGAGGTAGATATGTATTCTCTCTATATATATATATATCTTTCTTTCTCTGTCTCTTTCTGTCTCTGCTCCTTCATAAGAAATATGCTGGGAGCTGCAGAACATGTTGATAGTGGATGAAGCCAAAGAAAGGAGAGTCATATCTAAAGCTAAACGTGGGTGGGGGCATTATATTTCTCAATCTTTCTGGCAATGCCCTTTAATTCACTTTATGAGTCCCTCTTTCTTCTCTCTCACTTTTTTTGCAGAACAGGCTGATGGGGAGTGAAGAGAGTGACTGAGGACTGATGAAATTAGGCCAAAAGGCTGCATGAAGCTCTAAGGCAATAAGATGGCAAATCTAATAAAAAAGAATAAGGCCTTGAACCAGGGGAAGGGATAGGGGAATGTTGATATTCATAACACAGGCATAAAAATATACAATTTATTTTTGTCATTCCGAAATTAAAAAAGGGTGTACAGCTTAATGTTCATCCAGCTATGGGCACGGAGCAGAAGGAAGCTGTCTCCCAGAACATGTGATCTTCCTTTGACATAAACTGTTTTTGTAGCAAAGAGTCACACTGGACTAGCCCAGTTAATACCAGATAAATTATTCACCCCTGGAGGAATACAGAATTTCCCTTCTAGCCAATGTATCTCTTCCTAGGAATTTCAAAGGAACTGAGCTCCAAGGAAAAGCTAGCAGGAAATGGAATAAATCAAAGCTGCAAACACATGCAATTTGTCAGCTCCTTGTGGAAAAAGTGGACCACACAATTCTCACCAGCCTCTAATGTCAATGATAACCTAGATATATGTGGCAAGATTTTTTTTAAGGATGGAAGAGGGTAAGAGAGGGAGGGAGATAGGTTTGGATGATTTGAGATAGAAGTAATTTGGTAGCCAAGGGATGAAATTAAACTGGGGGTACAATTAGTAGGCAATTGAAAAAGGCTATTTTAAGGGTTTTTATGAGTTCCCTACCTCCAAATAACAGGAATGTACTGCCAAATTTTGGCAATTGTGCAAAAAGGAATCAAAGATCACAAGTGGCCTGAGATCGTTCAGCCCTGATTTAATAGAAGGGTTTCCCAGATACATGAGTTACCTTGTATACAAAGGCCTTCAGTGCAGTTCTCGGATTCCTGGCTTGGGCCTTCACAGAATTTCCCACCATTCCGTGGAGGTGGAGAAGTGCATTCGCGGATCCTCATGTGCTCACACTCAGGGCTGCAGACTGACCATTCACTCCATGCTTCCCAGGCACCATCCACTAATTAGGAGAAAATGGATAAATTGGTAGCTTTCAGTACAAAACATTTGATCCAGAGATAGTTTGAATCATTGGCAGAAAATAGGTGAAATAGTGATTTTGTTCCCCCCCCCCTTCTTAAGCTGATCCAAGTGTCTTCTTACTGTATGTAGCTGTGTTTGCTTTCTTGCTCCTCCTAATCTGTGATATCCATACCTCTGCTCTTCAGCTTCTAACTGTTCAAATGTCTGTGTTCCCATGTTCCTCTCAGCCTTAAAACAGATATTTATACCTAATGTTGCACTATAACTAAAGCTAAATATCTCCAGTTGAATGGGCACTTCATTCTTTCCCCATCAACCCACACTTCCTCCTTCTACTGATCCTTCCCATATCTGTTATGTGCAGCATTTTCTAGCATTTTCCATGGAGCAGGAAACCGCACTTTTAGTAGTGTGCAAATGATGCATAGGCACAGGACTTCATAAAATGGAATTGGGCACAGGAAAACTGAGAACCATTTGAGTTTGTTCATTTTGATGATGGTGATGGTGGGGACTTAAAAAACATTCCAAGATAATTATGACACCTCCCTCCCTCCCTCCCTCC